CGCTCCCCCCCCGAGTCTACTCGCGGCCCGTCGCCGCTCGCAAGAGTCCGCATCCGCGCAGCCCGCACACGTCCACTCCCGCCCGCTGCCGGCCGTCCCGCGCTCGATGCCCGTCGTCCCGCCGCCGCCAGAAGCCAAATCGTGTCGGGTCGGGTCCGAGTCCGAGTTTTAAACCCGTTTACATACACGGGTCGGGTTAAGGTCGATCCGTATGAATAAAACACAGTTCCGAGTTCAACCCGAACCCGACCCGTGACCCGAAATTGACACCCCTAGCTAATAGTGATTGTTTAGGCTAAGGCCTGGGAAGGAGCAAATCCTAACAAGCTTCTGGAGAAAATAAACTGATTCTCATATTGGAAGGGAAGGAAAATATATGGCCAATGTAACTAATGAGGTTGGTGACAATAATCAATGCGGCTCTTGGTGTAATTACGGTCGATTTCCCTTGAGAACTCTGCAATTAAGCGTGCGCATAATGAAGTGTTTATGAGAAAGTGACCTCTTGGGAAGTTACATGAAAATGAATAAAACCATAAAGTTCAGTTTAGTATAGGATGGGTTGAGCCAAAGCAGGCAATACCTTGCACAGTATGGGTATCATAACCTAATCTCCTCTAGTACGATATGTTATTCAGGGATGAACCAAGCACAAGATGGTAAATTTGTGACATCCTAAATCAAAAGATGACGATCTAAAGAAAGCGAGGATTTATTCCAAAGGCTAATGCTTGAACAAAGAGTGACTCCTAGCAAGCTTCTATAAAGAGGGAATGACCTAAATCTCATGTTGAAAGAGGAGGAAAGGAAATTAGGCTATATAAATAAGGACTTGAGCAATAACATGCAATCATATTTTGTTGTAATAAGTGGATTTCCCTTTGGGATTCCACAACTAAATGTGCTTGTAATGGAGCACAACATTTGGAATGAGTGATCTCCTAGAAATTCCACAAAAAATGATAAAACCATATGGTTCAGCATGAAATAGAGCAATCTAAGCTAAAGAAAAAAACACATTGCATAATATGGTATGGGTTGTTCAACAAATCAAAATGATTGAATTATATTTTATAGAACCGTATGCATGCCCTTCACTACAACTAAGGGAGATTTATTCCTTGATGTGAGAGCTTATGGTGAAGTTGCTAGAAACTAGGAAAAGTAAATATGAACCAAGAGGATTTCAAGTTAATGGAAAGCGATCAGTCATAAAACATGCCCCGACTTGATAAGAATGCTCATTTTGTTTCCAATTTGGTGGATAACAACACACATGACCAGAACCTTTAACACAAAAGTATCTATTTTAAATCCCCTCCCCGTGAAAGTAGTAATGATGGTCAAGGACCTATCTACTCTCTAAGTGTCAATCTTCTACATGTTTAATAGCTTCAAGCAATTTTTCATAATCTTGAGTCTATCAGTATTCAGTATTATGCTGGGCAATAGTGTGAAAGCTCGACAAATGAATGCCACCTCGATTTTTGCTCGTTGTATTTACCAGCATATAGAAATTCAACATCTCCCACTCCTGATGGCAAGTGTTTCCAATCAATGGAATTCAAGGTCGTACATAGATGACTCTAGTTAATGAGAGAATGATTCAACTCTCTATCTTTAGCAATGAAGCCTCACACTTCTTTTCCAAATCCTCCCTGGATTCATCAATGTAATTTGAACTTGGGAATGGGCATTCTAGTAGTGAAGGCCACCACCACAAAGGTTGTCGTAAACCAAACTACCATCATAAGAGGGGCAATAAGAGCATGGTCACTGAAGTTATGAGTGTGAGGCTGTGAGCCACAATAGAAGAAGTAAATCGCAATATGACACAAAGGCAATAAGTGTGTCCTGACTGAAAGATTGTCATTGTTGATACATTAGAAAAGTTGCAAAATTAAGTTAGATTGCCTATGTCCTAATGTAATCTTTTTTTTTTTTTCATTTTAAAAAATAAGAGGCTAAACGTGTCATGGTCCTAGTCAAGATTGAGAAGGTTGGGTAGGTTTTTTATCCAAGTAGCCAAATCATGCTGCTTAGTTGGTGCTTTTACCATACTTTATGAGTTGGTGAATTAGAAAATAAGAAGAAAACGATCAAATCATACCAAATTAATTTTTTAAACAATAGTTCAGACTACCACACAAAGCAAAAGTCCATTTTTAACAAAAGCAGACTCATACTCCAATAATTAGCATATCGACTGAGGTGCTCGCAGTTTGCTGACACTTTAGCAAAATCCAAGGGAGGCTTTAATCAAATAATTATACTTGTAAAGTGTTGATCCTCCGAGAAGAAGAAGAGGTTTTGGCCCTAAGACTAGGTTGCAAACTTCAAGATCATCAAGATTGTCTGATAGAAAGATCAAACACCAATATGAATAAATGAGGCAAGCTCTCGAAGCTATTGAGTGGATAGCAATACTTCTAACAATCTCAGTAATTACCAACTACGTTGCTGAGCTCCAGCACACTGTGGACCGATTTACCCAGAAGTGTTGAGTGCGAGAGTTTGTACCCAACAATGGCCAGCTGACATGATAAACTTAGTTAAGGGTTTAGCTACATTACGCGTAGCTGAAAACTCCTTTCGTGTCCATAAATAAGGCTTGGAAGAACGTGAAAGAGCCTGAATTTGGATTCAGGGACCTATGAAACGAGACTCTGCACTTAGACCTACATTATTTTCTCTCAATGCATTTCTCCCTTCAAAGATTACTCCCCTATGAACTCATAAAATAATTTCAAGTGTTGATCTCTCGTTCGGATGATTCCTTCCGTCCGTCAATAATGGTTGGTTAGGGTTTAGCATACCTCTCGGATGGTTGTATAAAGGAGAGGTCCGGCGCTAGCTTGAAGGTGGGCTCGACTGGGAAGTCTGAAATAGGGTCGGAGGAGTCGAATAGGGTTTCCCGCTCGTCCCTCTCATCGATTACCAAATCCCCGGTGTAACCGACAAGGGCAAGCAGCAGCTCGTGCAGCATTTCTTCTCATTCACTCGTCCCCTTCTCTCTGTGCTCGGCGTAGGGAATTAGTAGTGACCACTCTTTGCAGAGGACCAGAGGCTATTAGTGATCATTGTACCAGTCACCACAGAGAATTCCCCTTTGATAACTGAGACCTTCGATTTTCACCCGTGAAATGCACGTGTGATAGAAAATTAAAATGAAACGTTTTATTTTTTTTTTTTATTGCTTAAAGTATATAAGTTTTATTTTATATAGCTTAAATATATATATATATAAATATATATATTTTTTTTTCTTCTTTTGAATAAAATTATCCCTTTGATAATGATATAGGATATAAATTTTTGTGGTAATGAGAACACAAAAGTTACATTATACATGAACATGTTGATAGAGCATTTGTGCACATCAAAATTGTCTATCTTACTTTAATGAAATGATCATTTATACTTTAAAAGGTCTATTAAATATGGCCACCAATGTTTTGCATAGATTTGAACGTTATTTTTGAGAAAGGGGAAATTCCTTTGAGAGTCATGATATAACATACATAAGAAATACATAATGTTCTCACTAATATTTAAGAAGTAATCAGTGGATTACAAGGAAATGAGTCATATCACATGGGACACAAAGAGAAACCAACCCAAGAAAACATTGGGCCAACTCTCGTGGGCCAACCAAAGAAGGTAGCCCATCTCAGGGGAAAATGGAGGATCTTGTCAACTAAATAACTCCCCAGGGATGTAGCCATCGCAATGATTCAGCCTTGCCATGATAAGTACCTTCATCCGCACTCAAGTTCAACAATAGGAAAGCACTTGCTCAAAAGAACCTTTGACTCAACCCCCCATGGCCAACCAACCACTGAGCTCATCTTCTTTGTAGCCTCAGTTCACTTGCCTTTCTCATATATGCAATCTAAGGCTTATTATCACATATCGCTAATGGCTCTCGCACATCACTCAGCTATCAAGCACCTCTTGCTCAATTCCCACTCACAGACTCGCCCAGTATACACTTGGCATTATTGAACTCACCTGTAAACACTTAGTATTACTAAGCTCGCCTAGAGACAAATCATCATAGCTCTACAGTCCCCGTTCTCCCTTAACCAACCAAGAAGCGATACATGTCTAGAATAAATTGTGTAGCAATATATTTTTTACTTTTTATTGGTGTAGCTTTTCCAATAACCTTGATATCCTTATAAATAAATGGTGAATATAAACATTTTAGAACTTGTATCCTTTGATTGATCTACTGATTGGTCTTTTATTGTGCATTTGATTGAGCTTTTTGAACATTTGTATTACAGTTTTTCTCAAGCATGTCATTTTCTCTCCATTCTCATATAGTTTCAAGGGCCTCTACTCATAAAGTCGGCTTGCTAGTAAGGCTTTATGTCATCCACAAATATATTTGAATCCAAGATTAATGATACAACTTACAACCTAGTTTTGCAACCATTGGAATACCCTTTGTGACGAGGTATTTATAATTTTTTTAAAACTCTTGAGTCCATATGTTTATAAAGACGACACACCATTACATGTAATGATTAAGTAAAACAGGCATTGCTTCATTTTAATGAGTTGTAGATAATACATGCAACTATTTGATGAAAAACATTGTATGAGATCTTAATCCATTTGTATCATATGAAAATCCATGTGGTTTGTAGGAAAATTGATAGTGGTGCTCTTGACTATCATCAATTTAATATGATGGACAATGAAAGATGTGCAAGAATAAATTATTTTATCATTCTATAAATAATAATATTCTAAAATACTCTCTAATCTCTCTCAACATATATATATATATATATATTATGGATATTCTGATCCTTGTCACTTGATGAATATGTTCTCTCCGACCTTCATCACTTGACTATGGCTCTACTAACCAAATGAGCAGACCAATATTATCTTGAAAGCATCAATTATTTCATTCTTCAAATATGTAATGTGCTATATACAATGCATATTAAGTCAATTTCCTCTTCCAAGGAGGGGCATTATTTGTGATCAACCACCAACACTAGTAGATTCATGTTAACTTGGCAATGCCCTGTGATTATTCCCCCTTTTCAGGAGTTTCCATATAAAAACCCCGGTTTATTACACCCCTTTCTTTTTTGTTTGTATCTAGATATTCGTATAAAGCTAGGATGTTAAACTTTATATTTCTCTATAGCCGCAAATATTATAGGATGCAACAATTTGACGTCGTTTGTGGAAACTTAATTCCTGACTTAGGGGCAACCTTGGTTATAACCTCAAATGTGTTTATGGCTAAGAAAAATTCCTCAAACATTTTTGACATCCAAGATAATGCCATTAGCACCTATTTTTTTAATAAATGCAAGGATGATTCAAGTAAACTTCAAGTGCTATACAGTCTTATCTAAACTTATACTTCTCGGATAACATCTTAGTCTCGACCTGAAAAAGGCATTAATGGTCTAAAAATAGACTATTCTTTGCTTTTTATTTGGGGGGATACACAGTATTATCTCCCTCCTAATTAAGATATAATTGATCCCAAGACGATTTCAGTTAACCTATTATACACAAGTTAACGTTATTGAGCAATGATTTAACAAATAACCTCGGATAGGTCAAACATCATTGATGAATTCCCTTGACCTCTTTCACACAAGTTAACGTCACTAAGCAATATTTTAATAAATAACCTCGGATAAGTCAAACATCCTTATTGATTCCCTCGACCTCTTCCACATATGCTAACATCAGTAAGCAATGCTCTGACAAACAACCTCTGATAAGTCAAATATCCTTGGTGGATTCTCTTGACCTCTTTCGCACAAGTTAACATTAATTAGCAACGCTCTAACAAATAACCTTGGATAGGTCAAACATCCTTTATGAATTTTTTTGACATTTTCAATACAAGTTAACGACACTAAGTGATGTTTTAACAAACAATACCAGGAAGGCTTTCCCATGAGGTAGACTCAAAAGAAAGCTAGTGGTGGACAATGTCCTCACTAGAAAGATTCTACGGTGGCAAGTGGAAAACAAGTTCTCCATTCATAACTTTGCTAAGAAAATTAAGTCACCAGTTCTTATACTTTTGTTCACTTGACTAGAAGAAATCAAAGATAAAATTACACCTCTCTCACACTAAAAATGAAATATCTCGTCTCTAGGTAAATAAAATTTAACTCTTTTCTTCAGCATTCAATAGTAGTCAAATATTTGACCAACCAATTCTTTCCAAAAATTATTTCAAACTCTAGTAAAGATAAGACTATTAAATCATATTTGAATTCTTTACCAATTATTATAATATTAACTAAATATGAAACACTAACAATTTAATAATCTCTAGTATATAACCAAATATTTAGACTAGGAGTAAAAATAATAGGTTTGATATGTAATTTTTCACATAATACCTCATATATAAAAGAATGAGATGCAACATAATGAAAAAGAACTCTAGCCGATAAGTTTGAAATATTGATTGTACTTGTGACCGCTTTAGAATATTCCTTGGCTTCTTGAGAAGTTAGAGCAAAAACTCAAGCTGGTGCAGATCATGTCGCTTCCCCTGATACTTCTCTTTTTATCTTGAAAGCTGGTTGGCTCATTTGTGACTTAGCACCCCTATACTGCTCTATCCTCTGATTACCTTTTAATTATATGACTCCTTGGACATTTTTCAGACAATTTCTTTTGATATGACATGGCTCTCCGCATAGATAACACTTTTATGAATTGATTAAACATTTTTCTTGGATGGGAATTTCCATAATTTGCATATGTTGATATCACATGAAGCCATAGAGGTTGTTGTTGTTGGCCCTGGTGAAATTTTTATCTTTTTTGATTCACCACCTCTATGATTAAATGACCTATTTTTCTATCAACCTCCCATTTCCATTTTACCATATACATATCATGTTCCAAAAGTCTAGCACTTTCAATAAGTTTAGTAAAATACATTATATGAAGAGGAATTAAAGGTTGTCTTAATGAATCTCTAAGGCCCTTAAAAAATCTATAACATTTTTTAGTTGGAGTATTGATAAGCTGCATGGCATACTTCGATAAAGATGTAAACTCATATTCATATTAAATAATAATCTTAGCTCCTTGCTTGAAGTTGACAAAACGCTCCTACATTGCCTGCCTTGTTAAAGGAGGAACATACCACTTCGTAAAAACCTGTTCAAATTCTTCCAAAATAATTAGTTATTTAGTTCTACCTTCGTATTTTTCCAAATGTTGTCCCCTCCACCATTGTTCTATCTCACCTTCCAATATAAAAATTGGAAGGGATGTATTTTTATCTCTAAGACATTTCATCCCATTCAAAGTTTTCTCAATCTTGATTATCCAATTCTCAGCAGTTATGACATCTACTACCCCTTTAAATAAAGACGGCTTTAAACTCTGAAAAAAGTTTTAAATATTTATCTACTTTCACATTGACCTGAGCACTTGCATCTATATCTGCACTATTACCAAGAGTTGTAGGAGTAACTAATATAGTTGTAGGTAGAACACTAGGTGTTTCAGATCCTACCAGAAACTAAATATTTTTCATCATTCACATTATCATGTTCATCATCAACATTTGCATCATAGTCCTTGCCATTACACTGACAGCATCAAACCATACTGGTAGATTATTAACTCTATGTATTACCTTCAATTGGTGTAATATTTTTAGTACCCTTAGGTGTCATTTCATATTGAAACAACTAATCATTAGTCCTTTATAGTCTGAATTGTATCATAAAAGTAATTATAGAGTTACTAAGAGAATCTAAAACATCACAATAATTTAACAATCTACATACTTCAGATGTAAACTCACATACACTCTTAAATAATAAAACCTAAAATTCATTAATTTTGAGCCTAATTTGCTTCAACTTTTTTCTAGCATTTTCTTGTAACAAAAACGGTATTAAAAACTAGTGAGTCATGAAACTATGAAGCTTATAAAGTAATGCAATTCAATTAAAGGAATTTTATGAAATATTATAGAGAATAATGAAATTAGAATTATGATTAAATTAATTCATAAGATAATTGTAAAACAAATTGAAATAAATTCAAGATTATATTTCATTTTATTTAAAGTGTGTACTGAATATCATAATTAGCCGTCTAAGGTCCAGACTATTATTTTATATAGTTAGCTTTCATAAGAATGTTTAATGGAGTCTAGGTAAAATTGACATTATCGTCATTGAATTACATGGAGCTCCTTTTACCTCTTTTGTGATCTCTTTTGCCCCACCTGCGACATAAGTATTATCTCATTTCATACACAATCTTTTCTAATTTGATTTTTATTAGACTTCAAAATTAAGAATTCATACCTCTTTGTTATGTTTCATTCTTTCATAAAAAAATCTATGTACTATACTACTTGCATAAAAAGGATATGTTTGCAATACATAATGTAATGTGTTTCTTTCCAAAATATTATCAACTAGGAAAAAATTAATTTAAACAATCATATCGCATCTTATTTTAAACTTCAATTATTCAAATATACATGTGGTTGTGCATATATATATATATATATTTTTTATGTGGTTGTGCATATATGAATACTTGGATGTATACTCATATTCAATAAATTGAATAATTAATATCTTTCTCCCTTCAGTTCATTCAATTACAAGTGTATATGTCTAGAAATGATAATTCAAAATTATATTCCTTACCTCTGTAATTAGTTATCTCCTCAAATTTGACACCTTGCGCCCTTTTTCTTTTATAAATTACCACATAATCTCCCATCTACATATACTAATTGAATTCCTACATTTGGGCTTAATCTTCTTTACCATTATTTAGAAATTTTTTATATTTTATAAAGCATCTATAAACATTATAATACAACCTACCTCCATTTCTATTTTCTTCAATTTCTCTTTACTTATTCTTCTTCCTTCCACTGCATCTTCCTCCCACATAGTCATTGTTCCCTCAAAGCAATTGCTCACTCACAGCAATTGTACTCTCACGGCAATGGCTCTCTCACACAGTTACAGTTCTCTCAAAGAAATGGCTATCTTAGATCGCTACAACACTCATATGCCAAACCAATCCTATTTCATGCACCAAACCGCAAGCCTTTCTCCCTGCTTGTTGTTCGACTGAATGCGTGAAAGAAATAAAAATAATAATAAAGCCCATATCATAACTGCCACTCTAAACTGCCATTGAATGCACCTATTTAGAATTAAGAAATTATCTAATTTAATTTACTTAACAGTAAATATTACTTAGTATTAATACTAGAATTTACTTAACAGTAATTTAAGTACTTTTAATATAATTTTAAAGAAAATTATTATTTAATCTTAAAAGAAATATTAACTTGTTCAAATTTTCTTATAAATTTATATTTCATGTATAGTGCAATTAGGTAAAACATTAAAATCTTACCTGAGATTATTGAGTAATACATTCAACAATCTTAGAAAGTTAAAAGTCTCAAAAGATATAAGTACACAGAAGACCTTAAAAAGCTAAAGTCTCAAAAGGCACAATAATATCTTAGAAGGCTAAAAGCCTCAAAAGACACATGTACACAAAAGAACTTAGAAGGCTAAAACCTCTGAAAACATACAAACACCAAAGACCTTAGAAGGCTAAAAGCCTCAAAAGGCATAGCTACATCAACATCTCTGAAAGCTAAAAGCCTCATAAGATATATATTTCTTTAATTATTTAAAAACCTCAGAAGATTAAAGGCTGCAAAAGGGATAAATTTATCTGATATAATTGCTTTAATTAGGAGAAATATATCAAAACATATCTCAAAGATGTATAAAATATTTAATTATTTCTGAGGGAAAAATTCACAAATAAAGAATCTTCTGACATGAATGTGGAGCCCTTCTTACTTCAAAAATAAACATGAAATTCATATGAATGTCTCAAAGACATATACAGTGCCATTGGATTTACATGAAATCATCACAATTAAATTTTACATTAGATTCAAGTGTATAATCATTTTCATAAGGAGCTGGAATTCAAATTACATGAAATGAAGGGCTTTCATCAATATCATCCATATATGAAAATAAATCATGGTGGAGGAGCATGTGCTCGATCGGACCTTTCTGGAGAAATAATCAATATGTCATAAAACTCCTTACAAATCACCGCCATACCATCAGGTCTCCACTTAATTGAGTGTGTCGTTAGACTGTTGTGGTTGACACAATATTTGATCCTCTCTATCAGGATATCTACTATCTGCCTCCGTTGGCATACTATCTCCATTAAAACGAATCTCAATTGTGGCCTTTCAGCTTACCCCCGAATGCCAAAGTCGAGATAACACATAATCACCTATGTTAGGCTTTCATCAGCATATTGCATGACTCTTTGTATTAAATGATCAACTTAAGATCACCAGATCTCTTACTGATCATCAATAATTGCCAAACTTATGTCTATTCACTCACAATTATCGGGTCTCCGCATAGGTGCTACTACTATAATACCCCTTTAAATCCTCATTTTGTATAAAAGGTGGTTGATCTTTTTTTGTCACGGGCTATTTAAGGAGGGAATGATCTCTCACTGGGAGTTCTTCTACATAAGGAGGGGCATTGAAGTTTGATAGGAGATGTTATCCAATATAGTGAAAGACCTCCAGTATAAGAAGAAATATAGAAAATAAGAAGAAGAAAGGCAAGGGCCACTCTTACTGTACAAAGAGGGGCACTGAAAATTGATATAAGACGACGCCTATCAAAGATAGTTGAGTGTCTCTAATGTGGGAATGCGTATGGAGGAGAAGAAAATGTAAGACAATATAAATTCTTTCTACACAAAAAGGGGCACTAGAACTTGATTAGGGATTCATCCTAATCAAGGCACTAGAGTTCCTTTATTGTAAAAGCATTGAAAAAAAAGGAAGAAGAGTAGAGGTGTGATCTTCCCCTATCCCAAATGGGGTATTTATAAGTGAAAAAGGAGGAAAGATGCTTATAAAAATTTTCTAATTTTTTTTCTAATAATATTTTTCATATTTTTTTTTATGGAAAAAAGCTAAAAATAGCTGTTTGTAATAGACAGAACTAAGCTAGCGAAGGGGCATGCCCCATGGCGTGCGTGAGTGGGCACACTGTCTCGCGAGAGGCAAGGGGGCCGATTTGCTTGTTCGGTCGCCAACTCACGTTCATGTTTGATTTTCGACCATAACAGTTCGATTTAGACATTTTTAGGGTTCTCGGGATTATTTTTTGATGTTTTAAACTCAATTTTGTCACTTTCATGGCCTAACAAAACCTCTACAGTCAGTTTCGAGCAATTTAAAGAGTTTTGGAACGGAAATTTTTATAATTTTTGACATCAGTCATCCGCTGACTATTGTCCCTTCGACCACCGTCGCCCGACTACGTTCTTCTAACATATGTCACTTGTTGAGTATGATCCCTCCAACATTTGTCGCATGACTACTACCCTACCAACCAAATGAACAAACCAGAAACCAGCATTCTCTTGAGAACAACTATCATTCATTCTTCAACTATATAATGTGCTCTATACAATGTATATTTGAGCCAACGCCCTCCTCAGAGGAAGGGCATTATTTGTAATCAATAATCAACACTAGCGGATTCATGTTGGTTGGGTAATGCCCCGTGATTTTTTTCCCATTTCAGGAATTTTCTTGTAAAAACTCAGGTGTCTTCCACCCCTCTTGTATCTGTTTGTATTATGGATCTTCGTACGAATTTAAAATGCTAAATTTTATATTTCTATACCGCCACGAATATGCCAGGACACAACATGGATGTAAAATTTAAATATCTTTAACAACTTTATACATAAATACTTAATCTTAATATATTTTAAGTGACTTTTATATTAACATTTTTTGAGCAAGTCGGCATGTGAGCTAATAAGTTGAGTTAGAGCTAAATCAAGCTTGACTGTTTAGCTCATTAAGCTTGGCTCACATGCCATTTATCAAGTCGAGCCCTAAGTTGACTTGACTTACTTACACCGCTAGTGAATGGTGGTCGGTGATGATGTTGGTGGTTAAGAACAGGCGAGAGATGATCGATGGGGCGGTGTCAAGATAGCTGAGTCATAGTGAAAATAATTTTTACTCAAAATTAGACTAATTTACTTTAACTAAAATTGAACTAAAATAATTTTCATTATTATTTTTCATACAACTAAACATTAATATTAATATTTTCAAAACACTAAAAAAAAAAAAACCTTTACACCTACTTTATTTTCAACCAAACGCTTCATTAATAAATGTTATTTGAATGTTTTTTTAAACGTTTTAAAGGCTTCTGAACCACCCTAGTTTTCCTCCGCCCCGAAGCAGAGAAGCTGCTGTCTGCATTCTCTCACCTTACTCGCCGCCAGGAAGCAATATTCTCTACACGCGGATGCTGCCCCTTGGAATGTGAGAAGGAACTCGAAATCATTGCGAAAATGGAATAACGGGAAAGAAGAGGAGGTGATTTGGATGGAAGAAGAACCGACTTGGTTGATGATGCCTCAGCTTCGCCTCCTTGCATCGGATTTCTTCGTTTCCTTCTTGTGGGTTTGGTCTGGATGCCTGCTGAGGTGCTTAGCGTTCTGGTTTTTGGGTTCGGGAAACAGCCCCATTGTTCTTCTCATCAAAGGCTCAATCGCAGTACCCTATCTCGTTTTCTTCGCCTGGGTGGGCAAGACTACAAACGGAGGCTCTTACAACCCGCTTATTGTTCTCTGCTACGCTATATCTGGGAATTTCGCTGTTTTCCTCTTTTCGGTTCTTGCTAGAATTCCTGCTCAAGTATGTTGGTTTTTATTTTTATCAATTTCAACTGCAGTATTCTGTTAGTGAAGCTGTGATGTGTTCTGCCCAATTTGTTCTCTTGTAAGATCATATTCAATTGCATTGTTTTTCATTATTGTTTTATGTCTGTTAATATAACGGGGCTGTCTATTGTTCTTCACGCTGAATAGCTCGTGGAGTAACAAGAGCAAAAGGAATGATGTTACTTCAATGTTTAATTCAAAGTAGGAGTTATGATATCCAGATTTGATAAATCCGATGTAGGATTTAGTAAATACTGATGGTATAAATCCTGAAATATGTTTGTTTGTCCAATTCTTAATCCTTTTAAATCTATGGATTGATTGGTTGCAGCTTGCAGGATTTGGGATGTAGAAGGTTTTGCAATTTTCTCCAATAATTATGTTAATTTCCTTGATCAATGAACTTAATTTAAAGAGTTAGCACGCACTCATGCACAGCGAGCAGCATAATCAATAAAACCTCATAATTAAATGTATGCCAATGATTTTAAACATAATGAGGAAATTATATAACCATTTTGTGTCCCATAGTATTTAACCAAATAATATAAATACAACAATCTTAGAGCAAAAGATTTCATCATTATAACATCAAAAGCCTTTAATTTAAAAAGTAGACAACGGCACTAACTTTGGTCCTTAGTGGACACTTTATAGGTATTCTAACATAAAACAAATATTTAAACTAAAGCAGAATTAAAACAAGGAACAACCGTGACATGAAGCAATCCTCCTCCATATTCTTATACGGTTCACATAGGCTTGTCAATTTGATGGCTTTTATGTCTTCTTAATATTCCTCAAATGGTCTGATGGCCTCCTCCAGTGTGGATGCATTGGTACAAAATGTTTGCAATAGAGTTCTGTCCTCCACCGCACAATGACAATTCATTAAGCCTTGTCCTTGAAAACTTCATGATTATAAGATCATAAATTGTCAGATTAAGGATATGGTTGTAATGGTGAAATTATATAACATATGTATTGGGTAGGAAGTGCAATGCAATGTCGAAACTTTTATAATTAATAAAACACACTAACAAGAAATAATCATATAATATCAGCAATTTTAAAACTATATTCCTGAATTAATACCAACAAAATAAGGTTCACTTGTACCATGCACAAATCACCTTGAAAGACGAGGGTGAAGTTGTCCCTAAATTTGATTTTGAAAATGAGAATTAATAAGAAAACAAATATAATGATATTAGTTTTAACTGGCTATATAAATGAATTGCTTACTACCCAAATTATTGTTACGACTCTTTGTCATAATACCTCATTTTGAAATCACTCCCTAATTGATGCTTTTGAGTCAGGATCATCATCATCATTTTCCTTAATTTCTCGTAAGGTTCGAGTATACCTCATCTATGATTTTGACATGTTAAAATATATATCATTGACATGATGTTCCACCATGAAGTTATATAAGATTCTCAAGCAATGATGATATCTCCATATATTTGTAATGAAAACTAGCATAAATGTTCAGATTTAACTTATGAAAATGATTAAACATTTGTTCTGCATTGTTATATCTGTGTTGTGTTGTACTATGATAATCACTATAATGGTAAATGATAGCCTCTAAAATGTGTGAGGAGCTTATGTATGTTTGCATATCCATAGTCTAAGAAGTATCAATTTGGTCGAATTCGAAAACTATCATAACCCGACCCGGAGACTCGATTTAACGAGGCGGGAACAGAAGGTCAGACGGTTAATACATTTCTCTCAATAACATAAAACTTTTAACAAACTAACATCCAATACATAAATGAAGATACACTTAAACAATTTTCCGTTTGAATATATATATATATATATATATATAAACTAGATCATAAATATTTTCATTTGATCTCCTTATTCTGTAGACAAGTTTTTCTTTCTTAGCCATTAATTTCTCAGAGGATTTACCTAAAATTTTAATTTAATATTTTGAGTTTTCATAATAAACTCAGTGGATAATTATAAATTATAATATAACAGTTAATCACACATAAATACAGTCATGTTTGTTTGCCTTTCTTTTTCAATTATATATACATAAGCATTTAATATAAATGTAAATTTCAATTATATGCCTTTTAATTAATTTTTTCCTATTTAATTGATTCATTTTCCCTTTTCATTTATTGCATAAATCGAGAAATGGTCCAAATTTTATATCTTGGATCTATTGTTCAGAGTGATGGTGAAATAGATGGGGATATTATCAGCAGAATTCAAGTTTGATGGTTGAAGTGGAGGAATGCATCGGGCTTGTTGTGCGATAAAAAAGTATCCCTCAAACTTAAGGGAAAATTCTATAAGATGGTGGTGAGGCCTGCAATGCTTTATGGTGTCGAATGTTGGCCATTAAAAGAGAAGCATAATACTAAGTTAAGTGTGACAGAGATGAGGATGCTCATGTGGATGAGTGGATTTACCCTTAGAGATAAGATTAGAGAGAGTCACCTTAAATGGCTTGGTCACATAAAACGGTGGCCTTCCGATGACCCGGTTTGAAAAGTAGAGGTATTAGATTTGACTTATGTTAAGAAAGGTAAAGACAAACCTAAAAAGACTTCGTTAGAAAACATTAGAAATGATCTTTCTTTATTAGATTTAAACGAGAATTTGACTTTTAATAGGACACAATGGAGAAAAAGAATTCATGTAGCTGACCCCACGTAATGGGATAAAGGCTTGATGTTGTTGTTGTTTTATTTATTACAGGAGCACCGTTTATTTTTTGTACCAATGAAGGTACAACTATTTCCATCTATATTTTTATTTTTCATTTTCTTTTCTATTTAAAGTGAACGAGTACATTGCGTCCCTAGCTAATACTATGAGGAGAATTCTTGTATTTGCATGCATGCACATTATTATACTTTTATTTATAATGATTCGTTTTATTTTTCATTACATACATATTAACAAATATATATACTTTTTACCTATAATGCACCAACACTACTCCTCAAAGACTCATGTATTGTCCGACATATATCTGACACGACATGTGAAGTTTTGTTTCTGCTCCAGGATCGTCCAGGACGATCTGGGATCGTCCTGGGACGATCTGTTGAAATTTGCTCCAGAAATTGCCCAGATTGCTCCAGGTGATTTTTCTCCCAGGATCGGCCAGGCCGATAGGGGCATCGTCCCAGGCCGATCAGTTCAGTGCAAAAGACAGAGAGCAGGAATTTTTGCAGAATTAATTATCGTCCTGAGGATCGTCCAGGGAATCGGCCAGGACGATGGGTTTTTGGTCTGATCGTCCAGGATGATCGAGGCATCGTCCCGGGACGATCAGTGGATGGCACAAGTCAGAGAGCAAGGGGTTTTTGAAAATTAATTATCGTCCTGAATCGTCCTGCGAAATCGTCCCAAGACGATGTGAAATTGGTCTGATCGTCCAGGACGATCGTGAGTATTTTAAAGCTGAAATCAGGTCATTTTGAAGAGAGAGAAAATCAAAATAAATATCTAAAATCAGCCGAGGAGAGAGAAGGTCGAGAGCTAAATTGGAAAAATTGATTTTCGGGCGACGACGGGCCGTTTTCGTCCGTCGTGACAGTTCAGTAAAGAATTGTACGCAAGGTAAGGCACATTCCGCCTTTCTCAATTTTCAGAACGGTGCAATTTGAACGACTTTTCTGTCCGGATTTCATTTTTGTTAGCTAATTTCGTCTGTATTTTCCGACTGGTTCAATTTTTACCGCGTAAGTTTCCGTATGTTGTTGACGTGCCGAGTGTGCACATTTTGGTTATTTTCTGGAGATTTTTGTCCGGGTATTTTTAAATTCGGCGGTGTTTTATTTTGCATGTATTTTTCTGTGATGAGATTAAATGTTGTGGCAGTAGAATTAAAGTCTTGCAATGTTGTTATCTATATTCTGTACGAATTTGGTATTATGTGATTTTTCAGAAAAAATTGTGTAAATTCTGTATACAGCCGTTGTGCTGCCCGATTTTTGTCTGATTTCTGAATTCGTCCGGATTTCTTCTGAATTGATATGCTATCTGTATATGCTATATAAAGGGAGTTATAAGGGGCCTGGATCCTAAGAGATTCAGTTAGTGTCTGGAAAATCTGAAATGAGCTCAATCTGAAATCTGATATCTGTTCTGTTCCGGATCCGATGAATTCTGTTCTGGTGCTATAAGCACATCTGTTCTGGTGCCGTGAGCACATAAGCATATTTGTTCTGGTGCCGTGAGCACAAAGGGAGGCATAAGTGGCTTGCACTTTTTTTTTTATTTTTGTACAGTCATGACTTTTCTCCTTTGTTCTTTTTGTCAGCCATGTACTGTATTTGTAGATGATTGTTTTGAGGAAAAGAAAAATATAGATGATTTGTTCCGCTGCATTTGATGTTTCATTCATTTGATATTTCATAGTAGCTCTGTGAGTCTGTTTTGAGTTGAAATATTTGAAAGAATCAGTTCCGAAGCAAATTCCAAAGTCAGATCCTGGTCTGTTTGTTTGTTTAGCTGGTCGCGGCCCGGTGCGGGCGGGATCCGTCCCGGCGGGTCGGGTCGTGACACGACATACATCCGACATGCCTCCGACACACTGAAAATTGTCCGGTTAAAAAAATATTAAATACAAATTGGATACGCGTGTTTTAAATATTTAATGATTTTTAAAATATAATTTCTTGTATTTAAAATTTTTATTTAAAATATAAAAATTAAATTTCTTATTTCTTATCAACAACATCAAATCAATTGCCCGTACTCAATACCCCATTCATCGAATATTCTCGTTTTGATTTCGCTTTGGCAGGTCACGACTTTGGTTTCGTAACAATGCTCGTTGTCATCTCAACATCGAAGTATGTTGTCGTTACAATATCGATATTTCAAAACCATCTCAACATAAAGTCTGACACTGTCTTGACATTGATGCTTGCCGCTAGCAATTTCTATGCCTACAACTTGACAGTTGATGTATTTGAAAATTAATGAGACTCCATCCATCAATAAATTATATGTTGTAGAGGAGAATGAATGGTGTTAACATATGTTTTGAGGATCATGCATGTGAATAGACATTAAAGTAAAATTAGGAGGATAATGATTCTCCTCTTATAAGAGCAAGAAGTCCATCTAACAAGAAAGTGCGTATGTGTATGTATGCATGTAGACACATTTATGTATACATATATATTAGATCTTTTTGAGTTGATTCAATTTAATAAAGTGAGTCATCCTTGACTTGAAACTAGTTAATTTTGATTTTCAGTCCAATAAAATTCCTGTCCAATAAAATTCGAACAATTTTCTTAGCTTGTTTTGATTTTTTTGGCATAGTTTCCACTTGGATAAATTTTCCCTCAGAAAGGTTATCGCTTTTGGAAACTTGCAATTATACTTTTGTTCATTCACACCGCCACCTACTTTGGTTCAGGTTGTTGGATCAGTTGTTGGAGTTTGGTTAGCTAAGTCAACCTTTCCTGGAGCATTTCATGGGCCAATATTGAATGCTGATATTCACCGAGGAACATTCACAGAGGGATTTCTTACATTTGTAATCGTAATTATTGTTCTAATTTTGAAGAAGAAAGATCTTGGAAGTTCTGCAAAAAGAATCTGGATATCAAGTGTTTCCAAAGTTATTCTTCACCTTCTTGGTTCTGACATTACTGGTGGCATCATGAATCCTGCTACTGTAAGTACCTTGTACTAAAAGGGATTCAAGTTATACCTTTCATTTAATTTATTCTGCTAATTTTCTTACTTTTTTTTTTCTCTCGGTACAAAAGATTTGTTAGTGCAAAAAAACTGTCACTTGTCACATTTATTAAATGATTGTATATGAATTGATAAAAATTGCAATATAGAACAAGAAGTAGGGATATTGCAATTATTTGCTTGGTGATATGGACTTTATTCACTTTTAAGAACTAGAATTTGTTTTCTGTCAAATCCTTCTACAGAATGCATCAGAAGATTTGCTGGAGAATGAAAAATAACAAATAAATCGAAAGAAATCGAGGGAAAGGAAATAACAAATAATAAGATAAATGCGAAGTAAGTTCAATGGGCATGATGAGAACACTAACGCACTCAGTGGGTGTATATGTCTCTCTGCTGCACATGTGAGAGAGAGCTTGACAGCTTGTCATTAAGAGCCTTGCTTCTCTAAGTATTAAAGAGATAAATGATTTCCAAAGAAATTTATATTAGTTATTTCTGTTGTACAGGCCTTTGGCTGGGCATATGCTGAGGGAACGCATGTTTCGAAGGAGCATATATGCGTGTATTGGCTTGCCCCCATTGAAGCAACTGTATTAGGGGTGTGGGCATGCAGTATATTAATTAATCCGTTAAGGTTCAAGTTGCATCATGGAAAAATTTGTGCAGAGTTTAAATTGGACTAAGGTAAAATTTCTCAAATACTTGGCATTCTTCTTTTATTTAATTACCTTTTTGAACATTCCTCTCATAATTATGCTATGCTGTTGGTTGGTGAATTTTTTAATTTTATTTTTGTTCATACATAAAAGCTCTTCTTTCTCATTGATCGATACCTATTTTATGAAAATATTTTCTCCATAAAAAGACAAGCGATAAAAAACATTGTAATTCATCATTGGTCCCATGACTAATATGTGTCGCTGAATCCTCATATAACTTGTCATGCTTCCAAAAAGCCACATGTTTAGCCTCGGAGGTATGTGGTCCATACCATAAGCAGAAAGATCCTTGTTAGCCTAGTGTTGTTGTGGAGTTGGCCTCCTCGGGTATGTTTTTTATTCCATCTTTTGCACATAATTGATTGTTGCCACCTCTGACTAGTGATCAAAATATATTGGCAAGTCTGCAATAATGTTGTGATCTTAATGATAGTGATCATGGGTGGAACCACCTAGTGCCTGGGGGGGGGGGGGAGCCCGGGGGGGGGGGGGTAATTTGTTCCCCTCCATCCTTTTTTTAATTCTTTATTATAGGAGTTTTTAGGCAATTGCCCCCCCTAAAAAAATTAAAATACTATGACCTTTAGGTGATTGCCCCCTAGCAAAAAATTAAACACATTTCATAGAGGTGTAATTTATAACTTTTCCCCCTCTAAGAATTAAGGCTGGTTCCTCCCTTGATAGCGATTGTTTAGAATTAGACAAATATTATGATGCAATTTTTCATCGTCTCAAGTGGAACATTTTGAAACAAATGGCTTGTGAAGAGATAGGATTGTTGCAATTAGTTTGGGGAAAATTCAAATTAATGGGATTTACTGTGCTAAAGCAGGAGTTGTTGGCTGTCGTTGTTCGTTTGTTGGCCACCAATGTTGCATGGTTGTCTGCTAGTAGATAAGCCCATAGACCACCATGCAGAGGAAGAAGACTGGCTTACATCGAGCTGGCGGTAGCTGGTTCGATTCGCTTTACAGCCATTTCAGGATATTTGGATTGTTTCAGACTCTATTTGGTGGAATTTGGACCCTTGTTTGGCCTGTTCAAGCATGCATGGACTTTGCTTGATCTCTCGAAGTTTTTTGGAGGTCAATTAAGCCAATATGGATACATTTTGGTTCGTTGTGATGGCTGATATTATTTATAAATTAGTTGCGAAACTATTATAGAAAATGGAAGTTTTTGAAAGTTTTTATGGTGTTATAAATTTTGCGCTGTAGCCCCTAAAGTTCACTAATGAATTTGATTGTGAAGAATTCACTATCATACATTTTTTTGAAAATAATAAAAAAAATTATAGCCAAACTAAAGTCTGATAGAAGTCTGAAAAACTAAGATGTGCAAAACTGTTTTCGGATTCTAAGATTTCCTTCAAATTTGTTACATTGTTTATAACCCTATTCATAAAAGCACTGCAAAATCTGATATTTGCTTGTTCTTGGAATTCCTTTCCATCAGTGTTGATTTTAGAGCTTCAATGGAGCCTCTTTTCAACCTGGAGTGGTTTAAGTTGATTTTGTAGCCAATGAAGATTAGAAGATTGATTAAGGTTTTGTTTGGGATGATTTTTTTATTGCTTCTTAAAATAACTATTCAGTATAAAAGTTAAAATTTTTGTACTAAAAAGTTACTTTAAGAAACAATAAAAAATTCATCCCAAACGAAGTCTAAACATGTTTCTCATTTGTGAATTTTCCTTGTGACAAACAACTTTTCCTCCAGATTGGCCCATTTTTAATGAATTTTGTTTACTCGGCTGTTTGGCAGATATGGCGGGAACTTCTAATCCTAAACCAAGTATGTGGAAGAATATGCTACAATCTTCTTTATACTTAACGTCCTTCCGTACGTGATTTCATCTCGTCAAATATACATTAAAGGCTGAATGATCTCCTAAGTCAAAGTTTGATGTTCAGGTTTTATTTTTTCTCTCTTTTTAATTTTTTTCAGGGTGATAATTTTATCTAGCAATGCTACACTCCTGCAATAGAATATTAAGCTTATGTGAATGCCTATTTGTCTTATATTAAGCTTCGTTGGAACAGTTTTAGATTTTTTTTTTTCTTGCTTTCAAAAAAAATTTTTAATTAAAAAACAGCTTTATAAAACAGTAATTTTTGCCATCCCAAACAAAACATAAGTAAAAAATATTGCATATTTATATATAGTATATGTGAAAACATTGATGAATTGGCCTCATCAAGTCTACGTGGCAATTATGTGGACTAACCCTGCCATGTGTCAATCTCCAAAGAGGCCACATCATAATCTTGAGGCAACTCAAAGAATTTTAATTTAAATCCTAAAATAATATGAAAGTCAACATGAAGTACTATATTCAAAAGACAAATTTATGTCATAATATAATTACATTTTGCCATAAATATGCTCATGAAAATTTATTTTATTTGTAAAAGTGATCCATGTACGCATTAATACAATTTTTATTTCGCCTTCTATGATAATAGCCTTGTTGATTACAAATATATATTTTAATATTTTATCCAAAATTTAATGTTTTTATATATTCTCTAAATTGAAATCACGTGATTTCTTATTGTGTAAACATGATAAAAATATCTCACGTTCATTTTCAAAGCTTGATTATCTTAATGAAAATAGATAGAATATTGATACATCATTTGATCAATATAAATCTCGAGATAATATTCAAATTGTAATATTTTAAAATTAAATTCATGATCATAAGAACTCTAATGCCAACAAACTTATAATATAAGTAAATGTCAAATGTCTTGACAATACAAATCTATCGATATAACAAATAATCTGAGTAAGTCAAAATAAATTCAAATCAAGCACTTGAGTCATATTTAAAATTTTTTAAATATTAATTGAAAGACCAAATGATATCTAAATATTACATGTTTATAGTCAAATCGAGCAACTCAATTAGATAAATCTAATTAGCCCAAGTCACTTGATTGTTACGTCAGTAAGATACTCAAATGTTGGATAAGTAAACTATAATGAGGGGATCAATATTAATCTTTCGATGAAGTGTTTTAGATTTTGACAAAATTTATCAAAAGGCCTCTTTAAAAAAAAACCTATAAATGAGATATTAATTTTAATAATAGGGAGCGTTCAAGAGATGAGACAGATAAAAAACTCAATACAATTACAGCCCTCCTTAACATCGAATCATGTTGTTGGGCTTTAATTCTCCATCTATGGACACCCAATTTTCATAATCTCTATAATATGAATTAGATAATTATTGTCAATTGTGTATAATCCTATTCTTCAATTGTGCATAAAACAACATTCTTTGAATTTTATATTATATAGAGGATTATTACAATTGGATCAATTTGCATGTTTTTCTTGCATTCTTAAATGTTTCATATAAAAAATTATGGTTACTCATAAATTTTATCTGCATGTGCTGAATTTTTATAAAAAATAATATAGCAAGTATAATCTTACCAAATTTATTTTTATTTTGTATCTTGATTTTTTTAAAAAAAGTAATATTTAAATGGAAAAGTGATTGAAAATGTCTTGAAATTTTATGAAAATTTTGATAGATTTTCAATAAAGGAGCCTTTGGAGTTTAAAGGATCTATAAATATATTTTCAAACATACTTTAAAAATAAACATTGCATGCAACAGTTCTCTTGTATAGATTTGTTGGGTGACGGAAGCTTCGTTCCCTGTCCCATTACCGTATGCTCTCATCCCTTTCTCTACTTTTCCATCTCTCTTTCTGTATTCTTCTCTGTTGCTTCTTTTTTCTTGCTTGGAACAAGGATCAGCTCTCCACAGTGATCCAGGCCTGTAATGGTTCTTTCCCTCCTCGCCGCACTCTTCTCTCTCGTCCTCTATAGTTCTTCCATGGCAGAGCTAACAAGGTTCTTCCACCCAGCAAAATCCGACGGTACTCTCAGCCTATTGGCCATTGGTGATTGGGGGAGAAATGGAACTTTCAACCAATCTCTAGTTGCCTATCAGGTCGGCATCTCTCTCCTCTCTCTCTCTACTCTCCATTCATGCATTTCTTAGTTTTTATTTTTTCTTTCTTTCTGTTTTATATTTTTTTTTCGATGAATTAGAAGAGTTATTTGTTGCCATAAGAGGGATGTTTGGCTATAAGTATGATTTAATTCAAGCAGGATTAATAAATCCAATAAATTTTGATTTAATAAATCATAATAGGATTAAAATCTAAAAAATATGTGATGGGATGAATCATAAATTTTATAAAATATTAATAAACTATTTGTTTATCTATTTCGTGATTTAAGATTTATGAGAGAGAAATCTTTCAATTCTTTTCTGATTTATCTAACTAGCTGTTTGGCTATAACTAAAATTTAACAGATCCGCGTACAAATTTAGATTTAGTAAATCTAACTTCATCGGATTAAAATTCATATTATTTATTTCAGAATTTAAGATTTGTGTGAGGGTTAAATTCTTAAATTCATATGATGGGATTTAACAGATCAGGGTTAAAGCTGGATTTATCAAAACCAATAAGGTTTAAAATCCTCAAATTTTGTTGGGTAGTATTTAAGGAAAAGCTAGCTTAATCCTGCTTAAAATAGGAATATCAAACCGCCTCAAATAATTTTGTTATTTCCATTTATTCATTTTCTTTTGATTAATTGCCTGCAAAGAAGTAAGGTTTATAGCTGTTTTAGTAGCTGTAGGATTCAATAAATCTTATGGGAACCACTAATATGTGCAGTAACTCTTCTTAAAAATAAAAAATATGGATTGAAATGAGAATAGCTCTTCATATGTATCCTTACCTCTTCTAATCATTTTAATCGATATTTTTCTTCTCTCAGTGCCTTATATTGTTACAGATACAATCATTAATTATATCTTGAAAAAAAAAAGAATAAGCTGTTAAACTTTTTAAATTTATAGGGAGCAAATTTTGCCATGTGAAGAAAGCACCTTGCATATATTTAGATTTTGTTTGGGACATCTTCTTATTATTTTTTAAAACAGTTTTTTAGTACAAATATTTTTAATTCAAAATTTTTTTTACTAAAAAACTGCTTTAAAAAGAAATAAAAAAACTGTCTCAAAGAAACCTTAATCCCAGGAAACTCTTATATTGTTCATTGTATTTTCTTCACAATGAAATGATACCAAAATGTATAATGGTAGAAGTAGGAAAGAGAGAACCATTAAAAAATTGAACGGATCTGTATAAAATTCTCGTGTGTTTTTATTCGTTGATCTTCTTTTTTATTTTTTTTTCGTTTTTTTGAGTTATTATTTGAATTACAACTCTTTCAAGTTTTGCTCATTTCCCACATCAAAGGATGACTAATTTGAATCATTCCAGCTTTAATCAGATCAAGAAGCCTAACAAGAAATTTGTGATTGATAGATGGGAGTGATTGGGGAAGAACTTGACATTGATTTTATAATATCAGTCGGCGATAATTTCTATGAAAGCGGACTGAGAGATGTTGATGACATATCATTTGAAGAATCCTTCAGCAAAATCTACACAGCTAAGAGCCTTCAGAAGCAGTGGTATAGTGGTAAGTATATATTAGAAACTTGAAGCTTCAAAAAATAGAAAATTTTTCAGTTTCAATAATCTCATGTATTTATATTTTTTTTCAATTGGATTTTTCATTAGTTCTTGGAAATCATGATTATAGAGGTAATGCGATGGCTCAGTTAGATCCTATACTCAGACAGATTGATAGCCGCTGGCTCTGCATGAGATCATTTGTTGTAGATGCAGGTAGAGAACATTACAAATTAGCTCTGATTATGTAACTGTAATTGAAAAATATGTTAAAAAAAGGAATAGAAAAACTTCTTAATTCTCATCTAATTATTTCTTTATGATTAGAGATTGCAAATTTCTTCTTCTTGGATACAACACCATTTGTCAAGAAGTACTGGAAGAATCCTAAGAAGAATCAGTATGATTGGAGGGAGGTGGCTCCCAGGAAAAGATACATTTCCAGCCTTTTGAAGGTATCCTAAATAGCCAGATAAAGGCAAGAGTAAATGATTAAAATGATATTTTGATTTTTTACATGCGTCTATTTTCATATCAAATTTTTTGAAGGATTCAATACACGATTTCGTTTGGGATGAATGCAATTTTTTATAAAAGTAGTTATAAAGTTGTTGTGCAAAAAATAGTTATTTGAAAGTTACTTTAAAAAACAATTTTAAGTATAAAAAATTCTTGAAAGCAGCGATAAGGTAATAGCTAAACAGGATTATGGTTGAGATTTGAAAAATAAAACACTAAGAAAGTTGTGCAAATTAAATAGGCACATAGGCTTCATTTGGGACGCTTTTTTACGGTTTCTTAAACCAACTTTATATTAAAATTTTTTAATATTTATATTAAAAAATTGCTTAAAGAAGCAGTAAAAAAGTAGTCCCTAATGAAACCTTAGTCTGTAGTTTTATCAAATTTATATCAGTTTGGACTTGTGGTCAGCTTAATTTATCATTTCCTTCAATCGATAATAGTACATGGAAGCTTTCTATGGGAGGAATTAAAACTTTTTAGGATTAATCTTGTGCGACTGTTAGGTAGTAAGATTATAACTCTAAAAAGTTTAAACATGAAAATTTTCCTACAACTAATAGTAGTCAAAGTTGAACCTATATAAAAAAAAAATAGCATTAAAATCAATGCATTTAACCCTAGTGAGCAATATTTGTTCTCTTTCTATATATATGCAAGCAGGACTTGGAGATAGCACTGGGAGAGTCAGCTGCAACATGGAAGATTGTTATTGGTCATCACACACTGAGAAGCGTTAGTGAACACGGAGAAACTCCTGAACTTGTCAAGTTGCTTCTACCTATGCTCATTGTAAGAAACAATTTTCATATTTATTTACTATTAATTAAGACTATGGCAAATGCATCTAATTATAATGTTTGTTTATTATTACAGAATTATGGTGTTGATATGTACATCAATGGTCATGATCATTGTCTTCAGCACATCAGCAGTACTGACAGGTAAAGATATAAGTTTTATTTGTGACAATTTTCTTTTTGCTTCTTAAAGCGGCTTTATAATACAAAATTTTACATGAGAACGTTGTTGTTGTTTCAGCTTTATTCACTTTTTGACAAGCGGAGGGGGCTCAAAAGCTTGGAGAGGAATCATAATGCCGACGATGGAGAATCTTCAGTTCTTTTACGATGGTCAAGGATTTGTCTCTCTTCAATTGAGTGCAACTGATGCAAAGATCAAATTCTATAATGTTTTTGGTGATGTTTTGCATGAATGGAAAATTACAAAGGAGTTCTATGACTATATTGTTTAAGGAATTGAATGTATTCCCTTACTGGATGGTGGGTGATCATACCTTTCTGTTCGCTTTAAGAATTAAATTAAAAAAATAGCTAGCGTGTGATGAAAAGTCACCTCATTATTTTTGGACATAAAAGAAGAATAAAGTCCTGAAAGTATGTACAGTCATTGGAAGTAGATTATGCATATATAATGCCAAAGGCATGAAGCTTGTCATGAAGGTGTAGCATTCATCAGAGCTTGAGTTGATACAAAAAACGAGGCCCATGCATCTTCTCTGCTACCGTTTTCCATGAAAAATCTCTCTTGATATGCACTCGATGGTCAGCTGCAAGCCATATATATGGCTGGTTACTGCTGTGTTAATAATTCATTTAGGATTAGAATGGACTACAAATGTTTGTGAAAGTGAAATATTAGCCTTCTTCAGCTCAATTAATGCACTGAAGAGGGGAAAAGTGGCATTTTTATGACAATTAATTATAACATTGAATGCTTTGGAATCAGCTGATAAGTCTACAACTTAGTACACGTAAATTGTACATCTGATTCATCCATCGTTGTTTAGTTTGGTTGGTAGATGAGTATAGTTCCCAGTATATTTGAGAACCTTCTAACCCGTGCTCGATTCCCTTTGAGCTGTAGTGCCTCTTAAGTGGGGCCCATTCAAGTATGTGCTAAGAGGTTTTTGGGATGAGTGACTTTTTTAGATCAACCGAGGATTAGTCATGCTGTCAAACCCCCTTTTGGAGGCGTCAGGTGGATATCCCGTTCCCAACAAAAAAAAAAAAACTTGCACAACTGATTCGAACTATGATAAATTGCGAACCATTTCTTCAATTCATTTCTCCTATCATTGTATGCAGAGGATTCTATAAATCCTTGACCTGATCAGAGATATTCCAAATTTATATATATATAAAAAAAGATTGTATTTGATATACTTCATTTGAAGCACCCAACGGCTAGAAACTCGTGTATTCATTCATTAATTTTACACTCTTTAATACTTTTAAATAAACAACTCATAAATGCAGCACTCGGGGGATATAATTGTAAACTTTTGTATCAAATTGTTTACATTCCAAGTTTAGGCAATTGAAATGTTCAGAATTTTTTTCTTTTTTTATGTAATTGGTTTATGATAATGCGCTGGTAAATTATTTTAGAAAATTTTAAAAATATTGATATAATTTTATAATAGCAATAATATATAAAAGTGTGATAGTAATATTTATATTAAAAAATATGGTTAATATTATATATGGTCATAAAAAACTGACCCAAGATAATTTTATTCCATTAATAGATGTTCTCCTTCAAATTATGAGCTGTATATCAAAAAGATTTTTTATTTATTTATTTTATGATATTATTGACGCCATTTTCATTTTTAGACTGTAAGATATTATTGGCGGCATTACTATTCCCACATGGAAGAGTAATCATTCCCATCGACGTGGAGCTCTGATGGGAGGACCGGCGCCGGCCCAGGCGGGTTCACTCACAATCGCGACCTGTTAGAAGGGGATGAAACAAAAACTTTTGGGTGGAGAGGCTTCACAGACCATAACCTAGCATTCAATATTGCAATGCTGAGATTAACGGTCACGATTTCTAAGTCACTACGCCACGTGGTGGTCATACTTCATCTGGAGATATGTACTTCAGTACCCGATCGCTCTCCGCCCTCCTCTTTAAATTCCCATCGGTTCGAGATCAGTACGCGTCTCTGTGATTTTTCTCCTCTCCGAGGGATTGCTGTTTCAAGGTGAGATTGCACGCACCTTTGGCTCATTTTATAGATTTAGGGTTTTTTGATTTTGTGTCTCCTCGATTCTCAATAATCTATATTATTACTAACCCTTCAAAGCTTGCAAAGGATGTCCAACAAATCCTGCACTGTTGAGTTTGATGGTGCTTGCAAAGGAAATCCTGGAAAAGGAGGTGCTGGAACAGTTATACGCAATTCCAGGGGAGATGTGGTGGGTATTTATTTCAAGTTTAAGATATTGCATTACATGATTTTGATTGAGTTTAACAACTCAACTGTTTTTTTGCGTCTCTTTGTTGAAGGTTGCTCGCGTGAACAAGCCTTTGGGTTTCACTACCAATAATATTGTAGAATATGAGGGCTTGATTATAGGAATGGAGAAAGCTACTTAAATGGGCTACAAAGAGATTCACGCAAGGGGTGATTCACAACTTGTCTGTAAACAGGTAGGATGTTCAATTTCCTTGCTCTCAGTTATGGTCTATATGGTCTAATTTTCTTCGGAAATCCTTCATTACAAATTATATGTGGGTTTGTTATATGATATATGTTTTTGATTTTGACTTATTTTTTATTTCCTGTATGTAACTGGCTTTTGTCAAGTACTGCAGGTTGATGGAAGTTGGAAAGTCGGAAGCAGTAACCTGATTGAACTTAGCCAAAGGGTCAATGATCTGGTCGGAGGGCTGGACGAATTTGATATCAGCCATGTTCCAAGGGTAAATTAATGTTAAAAACATAGAAAAGTAGTTTAGACATTCTTATAATTATGTAGGAGTGGATTGATCTTCTTCATAATCATTATGCCAGCTTTGCATTGTTGCACTATCGCTAAATGTTTAAAATAAACATAAATATATATTAAAATTCATCATTTTTAACCTTAAGACATTGCTTGCGTTTTGAATCTCCTTAGGAGTACAACACTGAAGCCGATGAAGAAGCAAACAAGGCCGCCTACGGCTGAGGTTAGTGCATGGGTACCTACCACCCTTTAATTTGCATTTTTTTTATATCAGAATTGCTGTTTTGGATGATTTGACAGAGTGGAAAGCTGAATGTGGCTAATGAATGTGTTTGGGGCTTTACTATAATGTTTTATAAATTTGATTATAGAACTGTTATAAGCTTCGTTTAGGACGGTGGTTTTCTTGCTGCTTCCTAAAATAATTTTTTTACCACAAAAATTTTAGAAAGTTGTTTAAAGAAGCAATAAGAAAGTCATTCCAAACGATGTGTATTATAATTCTGGAACAAATAAAATTGATTATATGTTTATCTTGCCTCATATTGTGAGAATAGAAAATTTATTCAGATTTTATAAATGCAGGTGGGGTAAAGCTTTCATGGAGTCTCCATTAGCAGAGCAACAATAACAGGATTCACTTGTTAATACCATACTACTACTTTGTTAATACTTCTCTATCCCATATAGGGGCTGTTTGGTTGTCTGAAAATAAAAAATACAGTGTAAAGTAAATACAGTGTAAAGTAAATGGAATGTAAATTAAATGTAGTGCATTATGAATACTTTGCACCTGTTTGATTGTCTGCAAAAGCTTTACCCCACTTATATGGGATAAATACTCTGGTTTGATAAATCCAGAGTAAAGTAAAAGTGGTTTTTTATAATAATTTATTCTAGCATTACAACTATTGCATTTATAAAAATAATGTATTTATAATAATTAACATTATTTGATGTTATAAAATATAAATCACTGTATTCATTTATTGCACGATCTTATTATAATTTTTTTTATTATAAGATATAAAATTATTCTGTGTATTAATTTAGCAGTGTGTTGCAATAGATGAAAATATACTTGTGTTAGAGAGAATTTTTAATCTAAAATTCTTTGAAAATTTAAATTTTTTATGTTTCAAGTAATATTTTTACGAAAAAATTTGAAAAAAATTAAATTTTCAATATGATTTTTTTCTTTAATTTAGCAAAAAAAAAAAAAAAAAAAAATCGTTTAGCAATCAATAAAATAACATGATTTCCATTCATAACATGTAAACAACAATAATGAAAATTTACAAATAAAAGACATGATAAAAAAATACCCATAAAAATTTTTCCTCTTAGGCTTTGAATTACCGTTCATCTCTGTTTGTGTCGAATTCATAGCAAAATTCTAGAAATGACCAAACAGTCAATTTAACTACTGATTTTTAATTGAACTGAAAATTCGTAGATATCAAACATGCACAAAGATAATTGAACATGTAAAGGCTTCAAAGAGTTCCATTAGAAATGTCTGAACCAAAAAATATGGACAATTTAATTGGTTCTTCTTAACTTATTGTAAATTTAAATCAAAACTATAGAAATTGTTATTCTTTCGGCATGCTCCCCTGTTTTTGAGAGCATGTTTCTGCATGATCTAAAAGAGAAAGAATCTTCTTCAATCAACATTGAAGATATGTCACTGGATTCCTGCTCTGCTCTCTGAGGATACATTTATGGTTCCATAAATCAAGAAGAATTTTTGAAGCACAGGCTCTCATTGCTTGGTACAGCTAATAAGTATGATATTGCGACACTAAAGGATTGCTGCGAGGAGAGCCTTCTTGAGGATCGAACGCTAGTAATGTTCTTGAGAGGCTCCAAGCCGCTTGGCTTTACCAGCTTAACAAGCTAAAGAAATGGTGTCTGATGTATTTATTTGATATGCTGACAGAGACTTTAAACTGAATATGTTCCAAGAAATGATCACTTTATGGAGGCCTGCCTGATGGTTATAATTTTCAGTTGAATATATTCCAAAAAAGCCAGGAAACTGCAAAAAAAAACATTAATAGAAATCTGCAAAATAACAGGAGCAACACAAGGAAAAAAGCAGAAGCAAATTTGAATTCATCAATTAAAGTTCAGCTTATTAGTGAAAATGACAGTATTAAGGAAGTCTGCCATCAACAAACCCAAAAAAGCAACATTAAAGAAAAAGCCCATATTCACAAGAGTATTGAACCTGATAGGAATATAGATATGAACAACAAAAAATGACCAAAAAAGAGAAAAGAAGCTGCCAATAATACTCAAGATATCATAAAAACAAACCAAATAGCAAACAAAATGGTTTCCATCCAACTGAATAGTCCAATCAATACTAAAGATAGGACGACAAATATCAATATAGTGTAAATGGCAAAGCTCACAGGTAAAAAAACATTGACTGGAGGTAACATATTCATTATATTCCATGTAATTAGCATTCAAATCGCCCCAATAGCACCACCACTAGAAAATATGAAGTAAAAACCTGACAAGAAAACCAAAATACCAAACAAAAAATTGATAATTGCTCGAGTGAGTAGTACCCAAACAATCATGAAGCCAAAAGCCCATCTGCCACTCAATTCTCCTAAATAGCCAACTAACACACCACTAAAAACAACTGTAAAAGCCATAGCTAATACAACACAAACAAATCAACAGACAATCACTGTCAAAAAAGATATTAATACAATGATTAAACTGAACACCAAACTAGAGATGATAGAAATTCAACAAATATTCATATAAATAGAGCATTAGAAATTCAACGAAGCTATGATATGAGGTAAACTTGACAGGTTCGGGTCAGACGTGGTCACAGGTTGGGCACTTACATGACGACACCGAAGAAACACACAAGCGCGATGTTCCCGGATTAACCAGGGTTGGTTTCAGATTTTCGGGCTAACTGGAACCTGACCCGGTTTTATAAATGGGTCGGAATCTTGAACTCGAATCCGACCCGTTTCTCAAACGGGTTGATCATAACCTAATTTTTTTTTGGTCTAATTTTTTGGATTGTGTCAAATATTGACACTTTTAGAAGCACTCTCCAAGTTAAGATAGAGTACCCAGCAATAATGAGAATTGATCATTACTCTCTTACTCTCTTCATATATATATATATATATATAAGTGTGATAATAATATTTATATACTGCATATGGTCATAAAAAAACTGTCCCAAGATAATTTTATTCAATTAATAGACGTTCTACTTCAAATTATAAGCTATATCAAGGCTTTTTTATTTATTTAGTTTATGATATTATTGACGTCATTTTTATTTTTAGATTGTAAGATATTATTGACGGCATTACTATTCACGCAAAGAAGAGTAATCATTCCCATCGACGCGCGTGGAGCTCTGACGGGAGGCCCGGTGTCAGGCGCCAGGCCCTAGGCGGGGTCGCTTCCTCCGCTCATAGTCGCGACCTGCGGTTAACATGGCCAATAATAGAAATGAACAAAAACTTTTGGGCGGAGAGGCTTCACAGACCATAACATAGCCTTCAAAATTGCAAAGCTGAGATTAACGGTCACGATTTCTAAGACCCTACGCCACGTGGTGGTCAGACTTCATCTGGAGATATGTACTTCAGTACCCTAGCGCTCTCCGCCCTCTTTTTTTTTGGGACATTTAGGCCATTTAAGGCAATCTCACACACACAATGCATACAAGAGCTCGAATCTTAAATCTCTTAATTGGAAGCCTTAGCTCTCAACCAATAGACCAAAGAGAGTTGTGTTCCGCCCTCCTCTTTAAATTCCCATCGGTTCGAGATCAGAATGCGTCTCTCTGATTTCTCCTCTCCTCAGTTCTGTGTCTGACGGATTGCTGTTTTCAACGTGAGATTTCACGCACCTTTGGCTCATTTTATAGATTTAGGGTTTTTTTTATTTTGTGTCTCCTCGATTCTCAATAATCTATATTATTACTAACCTTTCTGAGCTTTCAAAGGATGTCCAACAAATCCTGCACTGTTGAGTTTGATGGTGCTTGCAAAGGAAATCCTGGAAAAGGAGGCGCTGGAGCAGTTATACGCAATGCCAGGGGAGATGTGGTGGATATTTATTTGAAGTTTAAGATATTGCATTATATGATTATGATAGATCAGTTTAACAACTTAACTGGTTTTTCACGTTGCTTTGTTGAAGGTTGCTCGGGTGAACAAGCCTTTGGGTTTTACTACCAATAATGTTGCAGAATATGAGGGCTTGATTGTAGGAATTGAGAAAGCTACTGAAATGGGCTACAAAGAGATTCACGCAAGGGGCGATTCACAACTTGTCTGTAAACAGGTATGATGTTCAATTTCTTTGCTGTCGTCTAATTTTGGGAAATCCTTTATTACAGATTATATGTGGATTAGTTAGTTGATAATTTCGGAAATCCTTCTTAGATTTGATCTTGAGACTAACGTCCTGAAAATCACAGAGCATACCCTCTTAAGCCAAGTTCCTTTTCTACAACTCTCTTTGCTTGTCTAATCTCGACAAGCTGTCTTAATCCTTGCGTTGGATCCCATCCGGGTTCTCTTGCATCTTTTAATTATTATTATCTTCCACCCGCTGCCCTAATTGCTATTCGGAATACTTGGCTTCTTTGATAATCTCTAACTTTGGACGCACATTTGATATTGATCCCTAGTCCTTGGCTCCTTGCAGAGTTATTTCATCTTTTTTCACATTTCCTGTATGTAACTGGCTGTTGTCAAGTACAGGTTGATGGAAGCTGGAAAGTCGGAAGCAGCAACCTGTTTGAACCTAGCCGAAGGGTCAATGATCTGGTCGGAGGGCTGGACGAATTTGATATCAGCCATGTTCCAAGGGTAAATTAATGTTAAAAACATAGAAAAGTAGTTTAGACATTCTTATAATTATGTAGTAGTGGCATGATCTTCTACATAATCATTCTGCCAGCTTTGCATCTGTTGCCCTATCGCTAAATCTTTAAAATAAACAAAAATATATATTAGAATTCATCTTTTTTAACCTTAGACATTGCTTGCGTTTTGTATTCTCCTTAGGAGTACAACACTGAAGCCGATCAAGAAGCAAACAAGGCCGCCTACGGCTGAGGTTAGTGGCTACCTACCACCCTTTAATTTGTGTTCTTTTTACTATCAGAAATGCTGTTTTGGATGATTCGACAGTGTGGAAAGCTGAATGTGGCTAATGAATGTGTTTGGGGTTTTACTATAATTTTTTCTAAATTTGATTATAGAATTGTTATATGCTTCTTTGGGATGGTTTTCTTATCACTTCCTAAAATAATTTTTTAGTAAAAAATTAAAAATTTTATGCTAAAAAAGCTGTTTAAAGAACTAGTAAGAAAGTCATCTCAAACGATATTTACTATAATTCTGGAACAGATAAAATTTGTTATAAGTTTATCTTGCCTGATATTGTGAGAATAGAAAATTTATTCAGATTTCATAAATGCAGGTGGGGTAAAGCTTTCATGGAGTATTAGCAGAGCAACAATAGCAGTATTCACTTGTTAATACCATAGTACTTTGTTAATATCTCTATCCTATATAGATATATACATATGTAGTGTGATGGATGGACTGGACCTTTGTGTTTTGCTCTGCGTGTTGAAGATGATCCTGCCATATGGAACATAGTTACTTACTTCCTGCTACTATTCCTATCAATGCTCTCTATATATTTTCAATATTAAGTTATTTGCTTTCTTGCTGATGCTGCTGAAGGGAACCAGTATAATTTATGTCACGTTCCCTTTGACCAATCAGTATTTATTATTGAAATATGCAGTATTTGAATAAATGACTATTCTTTTTACTGATTCGTCCACCAAAAATAAAAAAAGCCAATTTTTCTAGCAAATGTTAAATGACAATTCAATGAAATTGTTTTGTTTTTTTTTTTTTTACTTTTAAAACCAATCGATCTAGTCACATATATCTAAACAGTTTTTGAAAAATTATTATTATCTTTTTAAATTAGTAATAGTTCTCTTTCAGACCTTTATTGAGAGAAGCACTTATTTTAACATTAAATTTTCTTTTAATTTGTTTACTATTTTAATGGGAGTAACTTGCCTTTACTCAAAAAAAAAAAAACAAACAGTACTTTGAAACTTTCTATTGTAATGTATATTTACAGCAGTTACGCAATATAATTAGTATTTCTACAATTAAGATAAGTCAGACATATGACAAATTATAATAAAATGAATAATATGAACCACCATGTGTAACAATATACAGTAATACAGCTTGGAATATGAACAATGAATATAAAATCATTTATATGGACATTCGTCATAATTCTTAGGATGTAATATTGTAGAATATATCAATAAAGAGCTGTATAATACTATATAATTCATCAATATGCAATGCTAATACAAAAAAGACGTACAATTACTCTATCAATTATGGATGATATTAGTGTGAATTTTTTTTAAGTAAAAGAAGTTAAGCTCTTAAACATTTAGTTTTCTTTTGGTGTCATGGTTGATATTTTATTAAGAAATTTTATAGTTAAGTGTTTTCATCTAGAAGAAATTTTGTGATGGGTGACCTGAGAAATTACGTCAATATGATAAAATTGTGAGTCTTCCCTTAGGCCAAAGAGAAAAATATCATAATAGTTAAGAGTTTGAGTTGTTACAATTAGTAAAACTATAATATGACTTGTCGATTACACCACAAGATACACATGCCAAACACCATATGAAATAATGTATAAGGTAAATGAAGTCTCATATTTATCATAAAGTTTACTAAATAATATTAATAATAAAATCAAAGCCCAGCTGAAGCTCAAAACTCATTAAATTTATAAATCAACATGTGTGAGAACAATAAATCCATAAATCAATAACAGGTACGTGAACATAAATATATCGGTGATCAATTAATTGATGATCAATAAATCATTAATGTATATCATGAACATAGGTGTCAATGCAGTGTAGTCTTCTCCATTTTATCAATTGCCTATTATAATATCGATACATTCATATGCTATACATATACATATTGCTAATCTATCTATTAAAGTATGTATGTATGCATCTATATATGATTCAATTTGGCAAGACATCTAGCTTTAATGTGATGTTTTTATTATTTCATCTATATTCATCATTATCATCACAACATCTTTATCATTATATCATTACATGTAACTTTCAATAACTCATTAAGAGTCACCACCCTCTGCTCTTAGGCATAATCAATCATTAGTTACAAGCTACAACTAGGATAACACTACAAATCATCTTTCAAGGAAATTCGTCGGCCCATCCTCCTACACGAAGTTTTATACTTTAACAGTCGACGCATATTAATTATAGTATTAACAATTTAACTTCCTTACATAAATGTGAATGCGACATTTATCTTATATCAGTTGTATCAATATGTTTTTCATGCATGAAATGCTTAAATCTATATAATACAAAAAATATAAATGAATATTAGTTTATAACTTCATAAAATTATAAATTTTACTTTAACATGTAAAATTCAATAATATTACATTTAAAAGATTTGTAATGTCTATATCTATCTTATATGAAACATTACACGATGAAAGTATTATAATTTAGGAGATTATATTTTTATTGATTTTGGAGAGATTTAATTCATCAAACTGAAAATCATTAAAAACCTGAGAAGGATTCATGTTGGTTAATTACACTGATCAAAAGACTTTTTTTTTTTAACTAAAGCAATAAGCAAAAATAATCAAAATTTGACTTGATCTCTCTTTTCTCTCTCCCCTTTCCGCTCCTTTTCCATGACAAGCCACGTGAAATGGAGAGGTGAAGCAGATAGGGTGATTCAGTACTTAGGATTTTTGAATAAAAAATATGTAAAAATGATGTCGGATTTGTGTAACTATATTTGTTATGGATTGAATTATACTTATATTTTATTTAATATAAATCCCCACTAAAATATCAAGTGCACTTGTTGATCAAATAATAAAAGTGATACGAGAGAGTTTCAATCCTATGATTAAGTGTTTTGCTTTTATGCAATATGAACTAGCACCTCGACGCTCTTAAGTAGGTTTCGCTACAACGTTGGAATGACCTGGTGTGGCCATTAGCTCAACCGGTGCGTCGCTTGGCTGAATAAGCGCAACTCCACATTTCGTCAACTGCTCCACCACAGTGTTGTAAAAGTTGAGCACTACTGCGCTTGAATGTATCATTTAGCGCAGCGACATTATAAAGTTTGGCTCTCCGATTCTCAAATTCATGAGCCTCTTGCACTGTGATACTAATTTATAGACTTATAGTGTTGCGGTGTAATGAGAAACGACGTGACGCTGACCTTAGATCTGTTGGAGAACTGAATCAATTTGCATTTTGCCCGAGGCTCCAGCACTGCAATGTCCTAATTTGGCACCGGGACATTGCCACATTGATTGTTTGGGCGTTGCGGCGCTGGTTCAACGCTTGTGAATTTTCTCCATTTTCTAAGTCTTTCATGCACAACATCAACTAAAAATAATTTTTTATGGAATTTAAGACAATAATTATGGTATAATTTTCACTTAACAAAAAATAATATTAGTGACCTAGTGCCACATCACTCTTACTCAGCGCTGCAACGCTCTGACTCAGTGTCTTAACGTTGTATGTTGAATCCATAATTACTGTAGAATTGAGCCTCTAATATAGTGACAATACTTTTTGGAGCTGTTGTGCTCTCCTAGCGCCGCAATGCTACCAAGCACAACATCAAAGTGCTCTAGTTCAAACATAAATTCAATTTTTCATGTTAAAATACTTTTCATATTTTTTTTAATTGTTACAGTAAGGCCCAATAGGATTGCATTATACCTGGCCAAGTTGGTAGGTGTCACACATAAGACAAAGAATCTCATTATCATGCTCTTCCATCTAGAAAATACAATTATTAAGTGATGATATATAAGTCCATTCAATAGTATGATTTTGTCTATCAAGAGGAGTAGAAGTCAAACCTTGATGCCAATTATTTAAGAAAAAGTGTATCAATCAATTAGACTTGGTACAAGATCCCCCAATATTTTATATATTCCTTTGTCAACCTATGGGAAATATACATAGAACTCATAAAACTTAAGTAGTTACTAGTGTTCGATTGATCTAGATGTGTGAAATAGTTTTTCATAAAGGCCATGATTCTTTAATTTGCCCTAATGTTTTTTGGATTTTCCATCATGATATTCTTGAAATCTCCACCTTTATTTCAAGACAGCAAAACATTTGTTGAATCTAATCATCTAATCTACCATCAAACATCAATGCCTTTAAACTCCTTGCTCCATTAAAAGCATTGGACTCTCATGATACTACATCTTTATCCAATTTTGAAAAAGCATGACTAATTATAACTTAAGAAGATGTAAATGAATAATAATTTCTTAACTAGGTTAAGGCTCATGATTTTTCACTTGTATTTATTATTCTTAGAAAAAAAAGATAGGGTGAGTTATTGTTTGAAGTTAAAGCATGCAATGTGTGTGTGTATATATATATATATATATATATATATATAGTTGATGACCTAGGTTCCGCTAAGGGATTTGTTACGATGTTAAGCGCTCTCTTTGAAGTGGCAGCGGGTAGATACCCCTATTCCATAAAAAAATGATAATTTATAAAATATTTATAACTATATTAAACTTCTTAATCTATGCATTGCGTACTTCAATGTGTGCACAAATTTTAGAATAAATTATTTTAAAATCTAATACAAATTTTTATGCTTTTTTATTTGTTTTTAGAAAAGTCTTTGTCAATAGTTATTGAGAAAGATATAGAAAAAAATCCTACAAAAATTAATTTAAATATCATAGGCTTAGCATCTTGAAAGAAAGAAAATATTCTCAGATATTTTTTATTAAAAAATAAAAAAGATATTTTTTTGAAAGAAAAAAAAGTGGTATCAATTATAGAAGATTAAAAAATATTCTTATGAAAAAATGATCCCTAATATTTACTTATATGCCTGTGTAATTTGTTTTTATATTAAAAAAATCTCAATATTTATTTATTAGTTTAGGTTCATATAATTTTTCCTTACATGCCTCCGCCGAATGGAAAACGTCAAAACATCTTCTTTTATAGTCAACCCCATCATTTTCTTTTTTATTACACATCCCCCCTGTTTGGAAAGAGAAAAAAATATAAACCGTTGGCCTCCCCTTCCGTCTGAGCGGGAGGCTCGGATGTCTCATAGGTTTTTCTTTTCTCGGAAAGTGAAAAGAAAATGAGAAGCGGAGCCCATACTTTTTTTTATTGATCATCATAACAAACAGAGTCCCTGAAAGCTCTTACTTTCTTCCCTCCTTTCCTACTCATCTCTTTCTCTTTCTGTGATTTGTTTGGAGGAAAGGTCGCCGGCCGTCCGATAAAGCAGAATTGAATTGATTTGGGGATTTGAGTTTAATGAAATTTATGTAATGGAAGGGCTGTGTTAGAGATTGGAATAAAGAAGGAAGGGATGGATTCGGAGGGGATTTTGTCGATCTCTATGCAATCCGTGGTGGAGGACGTGATAAAGCAGCATGCGATGAGGCTGAGTGACGTCGACCTGGCGACCAGGAAAGCAGAGGAAGCAGGTGATTCTGGTTTACATTTCCCGGTTTATTGTTTTTTTAAAAGGGAATTTGGGATGTTTATGGATGTTGCATTAAATATGTTCTTCAATTGAAATGTAGAGTTTCTGGTTGTCATCGGGAGAATTGGTTGGTTGTTTATTTGTTATGAGGAAAGAGTTGGGTGTTTGAAGATTTCTTCCCATGTAGAATGTAGAAAAACTTTTCCTTTTAATAAATATCTGTAATGTGGTTTCGTTTCCTTACGAACGCCGTAAAACCTTTTATTCTGTCTTTGATTATTCTCTTTTCTTAAGGGATTCCTCTCGCGGTTTTCCTGAAGACATAGGTTTGAGCAATGGTGTATTAGGAAACGAATGGGGGTTTTAGCTTTACTATATTTAAGAGAAGCACAATGTAACTTTTAGGATAATGTGGAAGTTTTATCTTTAATTTTTCATGCCATTATGTATATTATATTAGTTTTACTCTCCGAAATTTGGAATAAGCTCTTTCGCTCCTTTTACTTGAAATCTGCCATTGAGTCCCAGATTCTTTATTGAGTAGTATATGGTGGTATGTATGTAAATCTCCCTATATATTTTTTCCTCTTCTGGTTTACATGGTCTTGGTCTAAATGGTGCACATTGACTTAAAAATATTTCTGGCCTTTTCAAATGATTCTAGAATCATAAAATTTGTGTTCTGCTATCCTCTTTAAGAAGCTGTTTCCTTTTTCGGTAAGCTTAATTATATCCATTGTACTATATTTAGTGTTATATATTCTCAATGCTAAAAGGTCGAATGTTCCAAAGTCAACAAACTAATGCATTTCTTTTGAATTGTCTCAAAATTATAAATTAGTTGAATGGTCTGTAAGTTTGATACAAATATGTTTCAAGCCGCCTTCTTTTTGTAAACAATGGCAGCGACAAGAAGGTATGAGGCAGCCGCATGGCTGAGAAGGACCGTAGGCGTAGTTGGAGCGAAGGATTTGCCAGAGGAGCCTTCCGAGGAAGAATTCAGGATTGGGCTTAGAAATGGAATAATCCTTTGCAATGTCATCAACAAAGTACAACCTGGGGCAATACCAAAGGTCAGTTGTTCAAAATTTGCAAGTTACTATAATAATCCTTTTACTTAATTCAATGTATCATTGAATAATGTTTCATAGGTTGTAGAAGTTCCCATCGATTCATTTTTCATCCCAGATGGAGCGCCATTATCAGCATACCAGTACTTCGAGAATGTGAGAAACTTTCTTGTAGCACTTCAAGACATGGGCCTTCCCACCTTTGAGGCATCAGATCTTGAAAGGGTGTGCATTTCTAAGTCTTCTCTATTTTTTTGTTTGGTGATTTAGTTTGATGGGCTTCTCAAATGGTATATTGGTCTACTTGTGTAGTTTAGGGAGGTCAGGAAGTGGATTCTAATCTATCATGAAATTCTTTTGCACAAGTTTCTTAGTTGTATTATGTCAATGAGAGCTTTTTCTGCAGCTCGTTGTGTTGCCCACTTCTACATTTTCTAGAAATAAGGAACCTTATCATGCCTTTCTTACAGTTAATTTGACAGTAATATCCTAAAGTCTTATAGTTAAATGGATCATTGGTGGAACACATTGTTCATTTTGTGAGTTTAGTTCTTTTAATGGAATTGCTTGATAGGGACTTCATTAGGATAGTCAACTACTTTTATTCTTCAGAAATGAGAAAGGGAAAAAAAAATTCCCTTCATGTTTTGTCGTTTTAACTCACTTTGTTTATGTTCTTATTAGGGAGGGAAAAGCTCTAGGGTTGTGGACTCTGTTCTGGCTCTTAAATCATATATTGAAGGCAAACAATCAGGCAAAAATGGCTCTTCAAAATTTGGTGGGATAACAAGACCTGGAAGCTTATCGAAACATTTTATGCGAAAAAGCTCTGATCCTTTCATGAATTTCATTTCTCCAACTAAATCATTGCCTGAGAAATCATCTGATGAACTGTCCTTGGAAGATAATTTCAATGGTGACTTTTCAGTACAATCAACGGAAATGGTTGGTTGGTTGAAATTTATTTATGTATTGCATCAATATGATTCACGCTTATGACTACAATCTACATGGTTTGGTTCACAGAAAAGTTCTCGTTCTCTCAATATGCTGATTCATACAGCTTTGTCGAATAAGAAGCCTGAAGAAGTTCCATCTGTGAGTTTGCCCTTCTGGTTTCCTATGTTTGTTAATCAATACCGTGACTGAATATGAAGAGAGATTATTTTTCTTGCAGCTTGTAGAGACAATATTAAATAAAGTCATGCAAGAATTTGATCAGCGCATTGCCAACCAAAAGGAAAGGGTGGGATTTATTTCTTCTCACTTTAGAACTTGAATTAGAAATTCTCTCTTTTATAGTTGTGGCAAACAGTAAGTATAGCTGATGACATTATAAGCTTAGGGAATTTACAACACACACAAAATTCTTTCTCTATATGCATATCTGACATCTAATTCTTATATTTATTTATATAACACTCAAAATCTCTATATATCATTAAAAATACTGCTACTATTAACTTTTTTGAAGTAAAGCATACCTATTCATGCCTATGCTTTGGTTTAATTTAGTCACTATAGTGATATGTAAATAAATATAAAGATTTAGGTATTAGATGTGTTAATACATAAGAATTTTATGAAATGTATGTAAAACCCCCTAAGCTTATTCTCTTTGCACATTTTTTGTAATAAAATAATTTCTATACTTGTGCTCATTTCCTCGCAAATGAAAACAATAAGGTTTCTTTTTCCTTGTAGGCGAAAGAATATTAGCTTCCACTTCCAGTGAGAACATATTATTGCTTATGTTAATGATTTTCAGAAATATTTTTATGTACTTAAGATATGAATATTGATCTTCACGCTATCATTAAAACTTTGTTTGAATTAAGCGAAAGGAAATATAATGAAATCCCAACAATTCATAATTTTTTGTTGATCGTGAATCACACTGATTTAAGCTTTTTAATTTATTTTTGTCATTTAGCAGATGTCAAATACTTAGGATAAGACAAACAATGATGATGATGAACCCTTTTTTTAGTTCCTTTGAATGAAATTCCTAGCGTTCAAACTCAACTTAAACGTTTATTGAACATTTAAAATGCTTTAGATGGTAGTACGAGGAAAAGTTTCTAAAAGAAAGGAGGAAGTAGTAAACATGAAAGAGAATGCTGAAAATGAATTAAAAGAGAGCCATGTGAAGCGACAAGAGAAGGAAGGTGAGGGGAGAGAATTAAAAGAGAGGCCCATGCTTATAGAGCAGCAGTTGAAACTAGAAGCGAAGTCCTTTCAAGACGGGCATTTCCTGCAGCAACATAAAGAAAAATCGATGGAAGAAAATGATCAGATAGAGATGGAAGAGAAGGCAAAGATAGAGAGGCTTAATAAGCAGCAAGCAAAGGAAATGAAACAAAAGGCCTTAAAGGAGAGGCTTATCAAGCTGCAGCTAATTTTTGATCGTCAGCAAAAGGAGATTCAGGTTTCTATTGCTCATTATTTTTACTCTTGAAAACTTTGTCGTTGATCAGTTCTAAAAGTGCATTTACTGTTCGTGCTCCTAGGAATTGAAATGTGCCGTTCATTTTACTAAGACTAGTATGGAGCATTTGAAGGCACATCATTCTAAGGATTTTGATAATCTTGGTAAGTTTAAATAGTTACTAACTCTGCATAAGACTTAGCTCTGTTCTTTGCAGAATTTTCTTTATTGTAATTAGTTCTTTATTCCTTGTGCAACAGGAAATCAACTACGTGCCCTAGTAAGTGCCGCATCAGGATATCATAAGGTTCTCGCAGAAAACAGAAAACTATACAATCAAATTCAAGATCTGAAAGGTATTATTGTTAGGATAAGATAAAGTATATGGAAATAAAGTATATGGAAATAACTTTGTTCTTATGGGAATTGAATTTTTTGTTTTCAATATTAGGAAACATTAGGGTTTATTGCAGAGTGAGACCTTTCCTACATAGTCAAATGAGTAACATGAGCACTCTTGGTCGTATTGATGATCAAAATATTACCATTTTTTCACCATTAAAAACCGGAAAAGATGCACGCCGAAATTTCACTTTCAACAAGGTCTTTGGCCCATCAGCAACCCAAGGTTGTTAAAAAAGTTGAGCTTACATTTAATTGTCTTTGATGAATGTATTATTTATACACGATTTATACGATACGCAATTTTGGCATCATTGCAGAGGAGGTTTTTTCAGATACTCAACCCTTGATTCGATCTGTTCTTGATGGTTACAACGTTTGTATTTTTGCTTATGGTCAAACAGGTTCAGGAAAAACACATACAATGGTAAAAACATTGTTATCCATTTCATGCTAAAGACCCTTGGAATCCTTAGACTATGAAGTTTACTAAATACCATGTATTTCATTCGATATGCAGAGTGGGCCTAAAGAACTCAATGAGAAAACTCTGGGTGTAAATTACAGGGCATTGAATGATCTCTTCTGCCTTTCAGAGCAGCGAAAAGAAACATTTACATATGAAATCTCAGTTCAGATGGTTGAGATTTACAATGAGCAAGTTAGAGATCTGCTTAATGACGGTCTTAACAAAAGATATCCTTCATTAGTTCTTCAATTTGTTATTTTTTAGCACTTGTTTCATTTTACCTCCCAATAAGTGAATGTTTCTTTGACCTGAACATACATTAGAGATTCGCAATTGTTCAAATAAAGGACTCAGTGTCCCTGATGCAAACTTGGTTCCTGTTAGATCAATAGAAGAGGTGATTGAAATAATGAATTTAGGCCAAAGAAACCGTGCAGTTGCTTGTACATCTATGAATGATCACAGCAGTCGCTCTCATAGGTATGTATTGAAATCCTGCTTTTAAAGACCTATTATTCAAAATTATTCTTTTGTGATGCAGCATGGTTGTGCCACTAACTGACAATTTGGCATCTTGAAAAAGCTTCATTTTGTTTATTCTACATGCATGCATGTATAAGCATACTTGTTTTGCTTGTTTATGAAAATAACATGTTTCTGCGTTAATATGAAAATAGCTTGTGCACATATGATGTCTGCACTCATTTTAATTTTGTCATCATCATCATTAGCCTTATTCCAACTTTGTAGGATTAGCTCTATGAATCTATTATTCATTTACTCTCGTCGGGTGTACCATGAAGTGTTAAATCTATCCATATTAACTTAGACATGCTCATTTTTCTTCCTAATATTTTAATACTAATTTAATATGCATGTCTAATTGGCACATTTTCATTTGCTGTACATTTTGAATTCAATTAAGTTTATTTTAACCTTCGTATATTCAATGGATGACACTTCAACTGATCCTCTAACATAATCATTTTTTTATTTATCCTTTCTAATTTTATCACATATACATCCATCTTAGTATTCACATTTTTATCATGCTTAACTTGGACATCGACAACATTTTTAATTGGCTACCACTTAATCCACATAATATTGTTGATTTAGTTTTAGTTTCATAAAATTTAGTTGAAGTTGATACTCCTTGATATAAAACATCAGCCAATGAATATGAGAAATTCAACACAAAACATTTTTTTTTATTGCTAGGAAATCAAATAACAAAAGCAAGATACAATGGTCCTCTTTTGAGAGGAGGACCTTCTCTCCCAAATCGTAGATGCCGCTTGGATCCCTCACACAAAGAAAACTACAGCACTCAAAACAAAAATTTGCATAAGAATAAAATAAAACTTACTATGGACTTAAATAAGCTTCCTCCCTCCCTCCAAAATTAGCCTCCTTCCTAATATGTTTCCCTCGTTAATTTGAAAAATAATTCAATTAGGAAAGGTTTCAATGAAGAAAGAAAATCAATTAGAAAATCCATTCCTAATTGATTTTCTCCTAATATAATTCTTTAATTATCTGTTGGACCCCACCCCCTCAACTACTTTTCTCTCCTTGTCTGCTAGCCTCACCTAGGCTGGACTTCCTTGTTGGTCTGGACGGTCCAGCCCTGCTTCTTCCATATCAATACTCCTCCTCCTCCCCTCTCTCCACCCCCCCCCCCCCCCAACCCAAAAGTCCTACCTTGTCCTCTAGGTGGAATGCAGGGAACTACTGCTGCATAATCTAGTAGGACCCCACGTGGCCTCATGCTACGGTAGACCCTTCCACCTGATCAACACTTTCTGGCTTCGTATTACTCCCAGACCCACTCCTGTGACATCCAGTGGTTCCAATAACACCTCCATGTCCTCTATCAAGGTCGGGGGAAGTGTCGAGGAAGGAATGTGCTCTCCTAGCACTCGTCGCAACTAGGACACATGAAAATACTAGATGGCTAGCTGTAGGCGATAAGCCATGGCCTCTGTGCGCTCTAGTATCTCGTAAGGCCCAAAATATCGGGGGGATAACTTATCATTTCTTCTTCGTGCCAGGGTTTTTTTCTGTATAGGTGAAGCTTTAAGTAAACCTTGTCCCCCATCTCGAATTGTATGTCTCGCCTATGTGCATCTGCCTTCTTCTTCGTAATTTGTTAAGCCCTCAATGTCCCTTCAACTCCCCCAAGATCCTATCTTTGTCCTCCAAGTTTTGTTCTACCGAAGTCACCAGTGTGTCATCTTGCCCATAGTATATTAAGCGAGGCGGATTTTGTCCGTACAACACCTTGAACGGTGTAGTGTGCATTGTTGAATGATAAGTTATGTTATACCAATACTCTGTCAAAGCCAACCATTTGGCCCACAACTTGGGTGTATCTAATATAAAGCACCGCGGATCGGTCTCTATACTACGATTAACTACCTCTATCTGTCCATCTGTCTGAGGATGATAGACAGTGTTTCTTTTTGGGATTGTTCCCTACATTTAGAACAGTTCCTTCCAGAATTGGCTTAGGAAAATTGTGTCCCTATCTGATATAATAGCTTTCAACATTCCATGAAGTCTTACCACTTCCCTCATGAAAATTGCTGCTACTGATACTACTGTATATGGTTGGCGAAGGGGGATGAAATGAGCATATTTACTTACCGGTCCACTACCACCAATATTGTCTGTGTAACCTTCTGACTTAGGCAGCCCTTCGATGAAATCCATTGTCACCTCCTCTAACACCTTTTCTGGCAAAGCTAATGGCTAGAGAAGCCCTTCTGGAGACAACCAAATACTTGTGCCTCTGGCATATATCACAGCTAGCCACCCTTTTCTCAACATCCTTCTACATCCCCTCCCAATATAGCTCGACCGATAACCAAGGATGTCTTTTGAGCCCCTGAATGCCCCCCAATGGCTTTCCCACGAAACACTTGCAATAAGTTGGGGATGTGAAAAGAGGTATTTGGAAGGACAAACCACCCCTCCTGAAGTAACTTTTGTCTGACTATTGAATATCCTGAATGGTTGTCCTTATTTGCTACTAGCTCCTCCCTCGCTTTCTTTAGGCCTACATCCTCCTTCCTTAGTGCTTCCTAGTCGACCACCCAAGGTATAGGCAATGCCATCATTTGGGGTTCCCCCATGCACTTGGATAACCCATCTACTGCTTTGTTCTCAACTCCGGGTCGGTATTGAATTTCAAAATCACAACCCAATAACTTGGAGAGCCACCTGAAATTTTGGTCAAAACAGTAAATTTCAGCGGTTAGCAAGGAGGATTGCTGCAAAAATCAGTAAGGACCCATATTTCGATCCAAACAGTAAGTTTCAACGATCGACAAGGGAGATTTTCATACACAAACTGACATCATTTATCTAAGTTACATTTGGTCACTATTATTTTCATACACAAACTGACATCATTTATCATCTTGAAGTTGCAAGAGAGTATTATAAGATCTAAATTATCAATGTACTAACTTGTTTATAATTTATGCATTATTGTAATATTTTCTTTTTGTTAAGGATATGCTCATTTATTGTATTTTTCTTAAACGTTCTCTTTGCTTGCCTATATAAAGGCACATATAAGCTTGTAATAAGATAAAATCAAGAAAATATTTGGACATTTTTAATTCTCTCCTTTCAAAGGAGCATAAACACTAAGTGCGTTTATAATGTTCTCACAAACAAGTATCTTATTAGCTATCACCTATCACCTATCACTAACCTTATTACTGCAATAATTTTAACATTAAACTTTTGTTTTATGTCGTCCTATTGACTCCTACACATCAAACCACACGCAAAAGGGGCAAAACCGACAAACCAAACAACGAGTGCGTCGACACGATGTGTCACTTGAAGGGTCAAACGACCTCTGATTGTCAAACAGTCTGTGTCATTGCAATTAGGACATCAAGTTCGCCTAAGTGAGGACCCCTCGTTATTAAATCTAACGAGATCGATCCAAAGGAACAATCGACACCCAAAGTTGACGCGCGACGTCGCCCAAACGACATCTGATCGCATAACGGATTTTGTCGTTACATTCAGAGCATCGTCAACACCCAAAAATCAATATCAACTTGTTCAATTGAAATATCTCGGTGAGACAACACAAATCCTGAGGCGACAATGCGCAAACTGAGGAAACTGAAGCGCGACACTGCCCAATCGACGTCCGATCATAAAAATAAACTTCATCGTTGCATTCGAAATGTTGTCAATTGGTGCAATGTTGCTTAAACAATGTCCAACTGTAAAATAGACTTCTCCGTTGTGCTCAGAATGTTGTCAATATTCAAAAATCATTGTCAATTCAGTCAATGAAAAGCATGCAAGAAAAATCGGTGCGAGTCCCAAGGCAATGCAGACAAATCGAGAAAGTTGACACACAACATTGTCTAAATGACGTCCGATCGCAAAACAGACTTCGTCGTTGCATTCGAAGTATCGTCAATACTTAAAATATGCTATAAATTTGCCTAATGAAAATCGAGTGCACAAACCAGCACGAGTTCTGAGACATCACGAACAATTTGAGGGAATGCATGCAAAATGAGGTGATTTTTGGATGAATGACCCGTTGTTGCCATTCTAAAATAACAACAACAATAATAATAATAATAATAATAATAATTTTTTATCATATTATTACTAATTTATTTTAAAAAAGTAAAAAGTCAAATACAAAATCAAATCGCAATTAAATTTACCTCATATCCTCTATCCTCTAACGAAGCCTTGTCTAGTTCCTTTATATTTCGCTGAAGTCAAACCTTGGATAGACGTTGTGATGAGGACATCCGACAATGGAGAGTTGACCAGCGAAGAGGCCTGAGATCTACAACCATGATTACACCTCTTTATTTCTAAGCTATTATTTGTATTTGATTTTTTTGTGTTTTTTTTATTTTACCCTCACTTGAGGAGTAGGTTCATGTGACCCCAGGGGACACTTGTTTTTTGGGTTTTACTATTGTATTTTGGCTATTTATAGCCCCATCTTCTTCTTAGGAGAAATGATGTTGATTATGTAGAAAATTTCCTGCACTTTTGTTTTAGTGAGTTTGTGAGCTCTTGTGAGAGTTCTAAGTCCCTAAGTGAGGACAGTGTATTACCCACCATTCACAGAAAGTGTCCGGGCTCGTGGTCCACCTCCTCCCCTCTCTTCTCCCTAAACCGCCGGCCACCACCTCCCATCTCTCTCTCTCTTGGCCGAACCCCCACACCACCAACCTAGGCCAGCCCCTTCCACCTCTTCCCCTTGTCTACCCTTGGTCGAACTCCACCCAAACCCTAAGCTGAAAGCCCTCTTTCTTCCTCCAAGCCGCCGACCCAAAAAACCCCACCTCCTCATTCAAGCCGTCGGCCCCCCAAACCACCTCTTCCCCTCCTAGCTGCCGGCCCAAGTTCCACACCCTTCCCCTAGTCGCTGGCCACACCCCTCCTTTGGAACCCTAATTTTCAAACACCTCTTAAAT